TAAAGTGCCTTTCCCAAGGACACACCGTCGGGCCCCTGACGGGATTCGAACCCACGACCTTACGGTTGCGAGGCCGAGAGCCTTACCACTAGGCCACCGACGCCACCACCACCACCACCAACAATAACAACAACAACAAAGACAAAATATAAAGATGCACAAGTACACCAGCAGCTAGTGACTGGTGCCAAACAGGAAGTCATAGAATAACGAGAACACGGACAGATTTGACATTTCATAGGAAAGACGTCTCTCGTTCTTAAAGCCCTTTCTTCTCGTTCTGGTGCCATGTGCATGATTTTATTCGTATCAGACAATCATCAGAATGTGGGTAAAAAGTGCAATGATGTTTCAACTCTAAGATGACTCAATACGATTTCGAATTACAATATTTTAGACAGATCTAATCCATTTGTTTTTATTTGACCATTCAATTTGTTCTCGCTTTTTTTCAAATATTCTAAACCCCCCCCTCCCAACCCCCAATTATATTCTGGACACATTATACCCCTTTCTTGTTCTCCTTGCATGGTGAGAAAAGATTCGCAGCTATACACCTATTTGGGTATCACCGACACTGGCGGCGCGTGGGATTGTGCAGAGTGTTCAGTGAACAGGCTGGTCAAATTGACAGGTGGACGCCAATCACATTTAATTAAATAGATCAGGTCTTTCGTAACTCCAACATTATTCATATTTTGTAACATCAAACCAAGTCAAGTTACTCAGCTCTGGTTGGTAAAACAAGTGTGACTTTCAAATTCAAAGCGGCATGAGCTTGACCCGATCATGATCTGATACATTATATGAGTAGTATGTGTTTCCCCTCCTGTTCTGTTTAACACTTTACACGAAATTCTCTTTTGGCTCTGTCCTTTCCCAGATGGACGTTAAACTCGTGGGCCCCACCTCTTAAATAACATAATAGTGTTATGATAGAGGAGTTAAACCCATACCATTTTACTATTTTGTTATGTTTAGTCTTGAAATGAATGTGCGCAACTCAGAAGGGCAAAACGGGGCTTTCCCTGGGAATTATTGACATTATTCTTGAAAACAACGCTCAGTGTAATTAAGATTGGTTCCGCCTCCGTGCGCGGGCCATGGAAAGACAAGAAAGCCCACGAACTGGAGAGTTGGTTGTGTGTGTGTGTGTGTGTGTGTGTGTGTGTGTGTGTGTGTGTGTGTGTGTGTGTGTGTGTGTTTGCGCTGAAATGTGAGTGATGAATAAAGTTGGCTCGAGGAGCCACACTAAGCTACTTAGCGCTCACTTCTCGAAAAAGTGTACAAGTAATCTGACCTACCGGGTATCGCCACTGGTCTCCGACGCTATCAGTTGATAAACATGGAAGCTGATTAAATAAACAGGAAAGAGAACAAGATCAACTCACGAATAATGGGATGAACATTTCATTTCAATTTAATTTCATTGACTGACTGGTTGATTGATTGATTGCTTGCTTGCTTGATTGATTGATTGATTGATTGATTGATTGATTGATTGATTGATTGATTGATTGACTGATGCCTTTTCCTTCCCATGGTACCGTTGGGTGTCGTGATGAGAATGTCATCGTCTGTTATCTACGAGTCGAGGAGGGTAAGGTCGCTGGCTCTGAAGGTGACCTCTACAGAGTCGATCCAGCAGCATCCTGGTCTTCCTCTGTATCTCCAGCCAGTGTGTCTTGTGTTGTAGCTCGCAGTGCTGGTTGGTCTGAATCTGAAAGTAAGTATTCATGATAGGTGGTCTAACCGATGAAGCGATAATGTATCATAATGCTGAATTACAGTAAAAATAATCAAGAGTGCTATAGAGAATAGCACTTTGTTTTATTGTTAAATGTTACATTAAACTAGGCACACCATGACTTTTCTTCCTTCGTAATACACCAAGCCCCACCCCCACCCC